AGAAAGCAGGTCCCGGGTAGCCACCCAGCCCTGTAGGTCCCTCCAGCACTGACCCAGTGTCGTGGCAGCCCGAGGAAATCGTCCCCGTGGGCCAATCCAGGCAACGGACAGGAAAAATGCTGCTCCCAGGGGCCTTTCGAAGGGTGAGACAAGGCTGGAGAAGGAACCCTCAGAGAGCTTCTCAGGCAGCTGGAGTTTGGAAGGCAAGGAGCAGATAAACCAACTGCTAATTCGATGCAGTTGTGATGACAATAAGAAGGGCGGCCGGCAGTGAAGGGCAGGATGGAAGCGTTACAGTTATACTGCCTTTGAAATGTTTAGGGCTTTCTGACAGCTATAAGAAACCTTGCTGGTATCCTCAGCAGCATGGACAGGCTTGGCTTCACTGGGGGGAGAGTTACTTGCCATGTGAAAAGTCACCAAATGTTGTATTTCTGGAGCTTGAGCTCAGTTGTTGGCAATAAAACCAAAAAAAGGCCCGTTGTAATGATACTGTCCTTTAAATCCCATCTGAAAAATCTTCTCAGGATGGAGGCCACGGCCAGTGAGGCACAAGCTGGTTGGGTCAGCACGGCACCCTTACCTTGGGCTTTGGCCATGAAGTGTACCCAGGGTTGCTGCCAGGCTCAGGGCTGCCTCACACAGTCTGAGCTTCACCCAAAGCATCCAACCAAGAATGACTTCTGTTCAATGACACTTGATTACAACTCAGTAAAGAGTGTTTGGTTTTTAAAACACTGTGACCAGAAATCCTACCAGAAAACAGAATGCTGTGTCAAAGTGGGTGTTTAGGAAAGCTAGAGGGTGATGTGTCTGAAAGCAGAAATGCTTCCATCAGTAGGGATTTAAATAAAATTTAAGCTTGATCTAGTAGTTTGTATAGATAGGAATTACAATAAAGTAGAACTTGGACGTGTGTGTGTGCAAAATGGCAAAGTTTAGGAGGTTTAGAAAACTAAGCCAGATATGTAAGGTCTTTAAATAATCTATGAAGAAATGTCTGGAAGAATCCACTATATTTTATAAATAAAATCGAGTGTATATGTAAATGCTTGAAAGCACCCACAGCTGGAGTTGCTCAGTGCTGCCACAGTACTTCTTATTTTCGACCAAACTAAATCTGTGGCAAAGCTGGGTGCTACCTTCACTTTCCTTCATTTTTGTTTGCTTGCTTGTATGTGTGAGGAAGTATTTAGTGGTTTATTTGGAAAGGAGGGGAGAATCCTGGCAAGGAATTCTGACAGAGCACAAAGCCATGGGTGCAACTTCACTTAACAC